TCATGTAAAGATTCACATTATTCCCTTTGAATTTCCTTATTGCTCCTCCAGCTCTTGAGAAATGTCTTGACACATCCACACAAACTCGGCTAGTGGTAGTTCGGGGAGTACGCCGGGTGGGACAGGGAAAGGAAAAGGGAGCATGCCCTGCCCCCATGGTCACTCACTCTTCTGCTGATGTCCTGAGGGGAACAGTGTTCTGTTGAGGGGGCGGCTGTGTGTCCACGAGTTCCAGACAATGAGCAGAGGGAAGGAGCCACAGCAGGCAGCGGTGGAAGGCAGATGAGTCACAGATATTACAAAGAAAAGTGGGCCCTGCTGGGTTGGGAAAGGAGCGGCGGAGGTGGGTGGACCGAGGCTTCCGTCCCAGCGGTGAGCTCACATACACGCAAATGACCGTCAATCAAGGTAGCCTTGCACCAAATCGATTTGGATAAGATTTATTGATCAGATTGTTTTTAGAAAACCAACAGCAAAACACTGACAAGGTACATAAATACAGATTGGACATTTTAGGGTAAATTCACTATTTTTCCTACTTGCTTGTAGGAAACCAGGTAAGGTGGAGAAGCTGTCCTGATCATATGGCATGCACACCAGACTGCAAAAGGACTTCCACACTATTGAACAGGACTGTGGCAAATAGCTTGAAAAGTAAGGCAAGCATCGTGTGTGGCCTAAGCGCACCCTGTACGGAGAGCCAAGCCCAGGCCTGCCCTCAGAGACTGCGTGACAGGTTTCCCTTTCTTGCCTAGGTTCTTCCAGTCAAATGCTCATTGGCAGGTGCCTTTACAGGGAGATGCCTGGCGCTGTCCCTGCTCAGACTCTGTGTACAAGGAAGTGGCTCTGGAGAAAGTCAGTGTGTTTCTGATGCCTCCTTTGTATTCTAAATGTGCAACTAGTAAAACAGCAATTACTACACCTTGGTGAACCTGCCTCTGACTCACCCTGTACACTGACTGAGCAGGGCCTTTAAAAAACTTCTAGCAAGTGAAAAAAAAAAAAGATAAAATCATGAAAATTAGACTAAAAAGATGGTACCACTTTTGAAGCACACCTCAGAACTTCTTCTTGTAACCCCAGGTAAGAGAAGAGGTCGCTTTCTGGCAAATCCAGTGACCTCGGAAGGGAAACGCCATCGCCCGCACAATCTGCACAACACACACGGAGAGTACGGAGCCCTGCCGAGCCCGCCTCAGGCGCTGCCAACGCTCCAGGGGCCCCGAGGAATCTGGGGAACCAAAGCACTTGAAGCTAACAGAGACCAGTCTGGGGAGCTCATGACCACGGGACCATAAACCCTCATCCATCCTGGAGCTCAATGCCGGAAAAATGAAGAGAAGGAAAATGGCTTTTTGTGCTACATCAGAGTGCTGGCAGCTAGACAAATGAATAACGGTGCCACTTTCTAAACATCTGTAAGACCACGTAAAAACAAACCGCTTTTACAGAATGAAGACCAACACAGACTTCCAGGATAATTCAACCTTTCCTACATGCCAAGCTATATGGCTGGAAAGGGTATTTCCAAAGGGAAAATAAGGCTCCTGCAAGAACAGAGGAAATGCAAGTATTTGTCAAGAGCCAAAGAAATGTGTTCAAATGATGGGATTTCCTCTGCTTCACACACAGTAGCTGCTTCTTCCCATAGGCGCAGAGAGCTCTTTGGTGGTTAGAGGAGAGACAGCCTCGAACTCAGGGCAGGAACACTACGCCGAAGCAGAGGAGTGAAGAGTTAACATCTCGACTCAGGATTACCGCCCGTGGGTCCTAATTCCAGCGTTCAACAGCTGTCACCAAATTGACAATTACGGCTAATAGGGCTGCTTATATGCTTGCTGGTTTCCAGCCCTCCGTGATTCTTCTGTTTCATTTCTAACTACTTATTAGCCCCACTCCACTAAAAAGGAGGTGCTTGTGGGGAGAGGGCTAGGGAGGAAGAATATAAATGAATCAATTGTTTGATAGAAAAGTTGAAACACTGATTAATTATGAATTTCAATTATCTGTGCTTTACCCTAGCTACCCTGGGTAACCAAAGGTCACTGTTAATAAACCTTTTGCTTAGAAAAGTTAATGTTTATTATTATAAGTTTAAATCTATCTATGTAATGGAAATGAATAATTTAGAGCACATTTTTACACCAAGTCACTAGGGCCTTGAAAAAAAAATTCTGCCAGTGGAAAGGATTTCAGTTTGGCCCCTGAAGAACAGTTAAAATTTCTATCTACTCTATATTGGTTTATAGATTTTCCAGAATGTGGAAAATATTTTATTAAATGAAGAAAGCATCATTGTCTTCATTTAATAACATATTATGTTCACAGATAAATTAGTATATACATGGGAGAACTGATAGTATTAAATATTAGGTTTTAATTCTCCATTTAGGAAATTCCTTACAGGTAGACTTCTCTTTTTGTGGGCAAAGAAATGTAGGAAAATACGTACACATGAGATAGTACAAAGATGACTGGGGAAAAGTCTCAACTCTAACTAGCCCAAGGAATAAAAAGTCTTTAAGAGTTGGAGTAAGAAAACACAGACTTGAAGATCCAGACTGACCAAGAGTTGGTTTATGCTAGCTGATCACATCTCACATTCTTGATATAAGCTGACTCTAAAAGCAATGAGCTGGCTTCCCCAAGGCAGATTAAAAAAGAAAAAAAAAAAAAAAAGTAGTCTACCTGCTTTGTAGTTACACCCTATATATAATCTTTATATATTCATATGTGTTTCTATATATTGCACTTCAATTTACAGGACTGCAGTGAGATGGCAGGGAGTGCCTCAAAGAGGCAGAGAAGCAGCAGGCATAAACTTTCCTAAACCAAGTAACAGTGTCAGGAATTCAGGGCGCTGGTTACAGGTATACTAAACAGCTGGGGACCCCCTATATAAAATTCTAGTCATGTACATTTAAGTCATCATACACACAGTCTCATTTGGCATCCAGAACATGTGCATATGTGCGGTTCTATAGCACTCTGAGCTGGTCACACCACATCCTTTTCACTAGTATTATAGTAAAAGAAGACACTTTAGACCAAGGATATGTACTTTTATAAAAACATCACATACAAGGTCTTGGATGTCAGGCCTCCAAAAGTCTACCTCAAAGAAGACTGCCCTCAGAAGGCTTAAATCCTTTTTTGCTAGCAAGTGTGGATTGAACTAGACTCTCTTTCTAGCTCTCCAGTGTAGCAAAGCTAGAGATCTGCTTATTTCCCAATGAGCATGGGAAGATAAGAACAGAGGCTGAGCATTCAGGCTTTGGTCCCTATATAAATCCATGACAAAAATCCTTTTACCACCCTAGACAGCACAGCTTATTGAACTGGATATAGTCCACCAAATATCCAGAGACCAGGCTGGAGTCATGCAGCAAAGCCTTGTCTTGAACTCATGGCGCTGCTCAAACTGACTTGCTCTGGAGAGAGCTCCTCACTGGAGTAAGCTAAGCAGTGGGTGGTAAGAGGCTAAATGTCAAACAGACTTGGTCATGGCAAGATGGGGGGGGGGTCCTCTAGAGGAGTTGCTCCTTCTCCTCCTCTGGCCCTTACCCCTCAGTCCCCCCAAAAGGACCCAAACTCACAGGGGAGTGGTATTCTAAGACCTTGCAGACTATGGGCACCATGAACTCAACCCAACATGGGTGGGATGTTCTAATAAGGCATGGAAGTTAGAAGTCCAAGTCTAGAGACCACAGTTTTCTCTTCCCCGGAACTCAACAATGGATGGTAACTTTAGCCACAACTCAAAAGTGATTTTAAATCCACACATGAGCTAAAGAGATCCCTTCTGGGATGAAGAAAAAAAGAAGAGTAACTTTAAAAGCTAAGTGGAAAAGAGGCACTTAAAGGAAAAAATGTGTCCCAAATCTCCCATCTGAGCCTCCTGTCGTGAGGTGACCGATGGGATGATCAGCACTGTGCCTTCTCGTACGCCTGCAGCACCTGGCGAACACCTGAGGACTTCCAAATGCTCACATCTCAGTGACTTGCTCAACTATCTAGCAGCCTGATGGCAAAGAAGTGAAAATTTAGGTCACTCCTTTCTTAGAGTTAAAATACAAAACAAAACAAAAAACCCAGAACTAAAACTTCACACCAAAAAACTAATGATCCTCAGTTTCATTCCTTCCTCATGCTAGTTTTTAAAATGATACTTAGCTCATCGGGAAGGATGACTTATGGCTTCCCCCACCTCACCAAGACCTTTTATCCAATAACTAGACAATTACTCACAGCACCATGCATATTAAAAGCAGACAAAAAAGGGAGACAATAAACTAAGGGAAAAATCAAGGACCAGTTGGCTTTCCAGAGATAAAACCTGTTGCCTGAGAAAATGGCAGGTGTGTGGCCCAGTGTCAGAAAAGAAACAGCTGTGAAAAGGAAGTGGCCAATATGACCGTTGGGCCTCACAGTCTGGCGCCGAGGCCCTCCCTGCCCTGCTCTTCTCTGGCCTCTTACAAGCTTCTTTATGTCCCATGGCAATTATGCCACACACTTAGGGTCTACAAGTCCTCCCATGAGAAGTCAAAGAGATACTTGAAACCAGGAATAAGCACAGAAGAATTCTGAAACTGCCCACAACGAAGAACTTTGACCACCATAAACTCCTTGATTCAAAACGTTCTTGGTGCCATAATTTCTAAGAGCCACAATAAACCACACGACTACAACACACACAGAAGCCTTGTGACGAGCCAAATCTAACCACTGCTGGCACCATAAGGATGAGAAAAGAAATCACTAATCAAGAGTTGCTGAACTGCTTGACTTTCCTCCAAAGTCAAAGGATGGGTTTGGGTATCTATGCAGCAAGACGTCAACCAGTGCTGCCACCAGACCTAGCTACTCAATTAGCAGCATCTTGGAAAACAGTAAGTTAAACATCTGGGTTTGCATATGACCCGCACGATTCTCAAGGTTAGCCTTCTTGTTCTATCCCGAAACTTCTCATTGTTGTGGCTAGACTTAAATATTTAAAAATCTTATTTTTTTTTTTGTCAATGATGCTTCTTTAATTTGTAGAGCATTGGCTAACATGGTCATAATTTCAGAGTTCCTTTAAAAAATTATCCTATCTTGATTCACAACATTATTAAGGTACCTTCAGACTTTCCCTCAACTCCATCAAGGAAGAGGGAGTATGTGAATGTGTGTGTGTGTGTGTGTGTGTGTGTGTGTACTGGGGCAGGAGGGAGAGAAGCAAAGAAAGAAGCACAAGGGAAAGTGAGATTTCCATAAACTTAAAACCAATGTACAGAAAGGCATCTGATGTATTTTCTGAATAAGGCCTTGATCAGGGTAACCAATCCTCTTTGTAGCACATTCTACACTGCCCATAAATAAAGGAGTCTCTTTAAATTAACATTTCCAGTATCAATGAACAGTCCAGAAATCCTCATTTCAAGCGCTCGATGAGTCCCTGTGTGAGTCCAAGGTGCAGAAGCTGTGTTCGCGAGAGGTTTGCTAGGTTAGGGAAGGCCGCAAGCAGCTTCTCCCATGCCAGTTCCAGCAGGCTAGGTACCACCAGCCAGATCTTAAACAATGACCCAGTCCGTTTGTTTTCATGGATGTTTACCACTCCTCCATGGATGTACATGCAACCAGCCTGTGAACAAATGGCAGTCAAAAGGGGATAAATTCAAATGGGAAAGAAACAGATGCTGAGGCTGAAGAGTCAGCCAGAAATTGCCCACTAGGCCAAAGTGAGATGAGGTGAAGCAAAAAAGAATTTCTCACCGACTCCAACAGAGACCAAGAAAGGTTTAAGTGATGAATGAGTTACTAGGAGAAAACTGTAGCTTTTTTCTTTTTCTTTCCGTTTTTTTTTTTTTTTAACTTCAGCAAACATTAAACTAACATTATATGAAGTATTCACAGTGCCAAATACTGGGAATACAAAGATGAAAATAAAGGCCCTCGCCTTCGTGAAACTAATGGGATCTTTAACAACAGGCTTCGTGGGGATAGAGCTATTCTGCCTTCCCAGAAGACAGCTTTTCTGTCCCTGCCAGGGCCTGAATGCCACACACAGACTTCCTTTCACATTTCTATTGCTTTTAAACTGTGTGTATGGTTTCTCTCCCCTTTTCTCAGAGGGAGAGCTTGCTTTGTCTTGAAGAAAGTTGTAGAAACCCATTCTTAACTCAAGATTGCTAACTGCAGAATCTTTTTCTTTTGCTAACTTTGCTGAAAAGATTTCCTTATCACCTGCAACTATGTACGGGAGGTTAAGAAAACAAAAACTTACCGGGGTAACAGCTGCACAGTGAAAATAAACTGGCTCGGGCATGGTAGCCGGGAGCTTCACCCACTGAAAAGTCTGCAGATTCAACTTCCAGATATCTCCCAGGATCACTTCTCCGTTATAGCCCCCGCAAATAAACACATCTGTCAAGAAAAGAGAGACCCCAGATTACACAAAAGAAAAGAGACACGGCAACAGCATGTTTCGTAGCAGATCACCCGGCGAGCTGACAGGGGACCAGTTCTGTGCATCTCCTCCAGCACAGATGACTGTGGCTGGGTGGTCCTCTCCGGCTGCTGTCATGTCCCTCAGTAAAGTACGGACACTGTGCTGGGATCTTTGCTAGCACTAGGGATGCAAGTCTCTAAGCAGGCTCCATGTCTGGGTCCTCAAATCCAAATACCTGTAGGTACCTGGCACAGGAAGTGAATGAACAAGAAGGTCCAGGGAAAATAAGCCAACAGGAGCGCACACACTCTAAAGGGGGAGATGGTGATGCAGCGCCAGCTGACTGATACCATGTGGAACTTAAGGCCCACAACAGCCAGATCTTCTGATTTTTCCACAGAAGCTGGAAATCTGGATTTTTTTTTTCTCCTAAGGGAAACATTTTGATTTTTAAGTGTTATCTGCTAATCCAAAAAAATTTAAGACACATACGAGCCAGACACAACATAACTGCAGGCCACCAGTTTGCAAATTCTTCTTTCAAATAATGTTCTAGAAAGGATGGATATTTGTCTGCCCATAAAGACAAATGTCCTTTATGCAGACATTTAACCTGAGGAGAAACATTCACTGCAATGTTCAGTTCGGAGGTATAAAAGTGGTTCTTCCAAGCTTTCTTTAGCCAAAGGAGGACAGTGTGACGTCCCATTTGATCTACACAGTTCTTTCTTTCAACCTTCCCCAAAATCAAAGGTTTTTCATCATTGTTGTTGTTTTGTTTTTGTAAAGTTAGATAGTTATAACTGGTCAGCTTGTAACATTCAAATGAAATGCCCCAAACTAAGACTGAATTCCACTGGTACGGTATCCGGCCTCAATGGATCAAATGAGATGTCTTCATTCAGGTCTAGGTCAAGCTCTAGCCAATACTTAATTAAACTATAAAACACACTGGAAACTTTTTTGGCTAAGATTCAAGAAAAGTTTAGCGCCAAGGCAAAGTATAGCTTTGCTTCCTCGAGAGGCAAAGCTGAACAATGCCACGATCTACACATCTTATCCAGAAAGCAGAAGCATCATAAAAAGCAGCTTTGTACTGGAGATGGCAGCATAATCCTAGTTAAATCCCAACTAAACTGCTGAAAGGATATGGGCTCTCAAACTCACTTATACACACCTTCCCCCCAGGAAAAATGGAAGAGGGTGTACCAAACTATAAAATAAGCTGTAAATTAGAAGACAGGAGGGTTGTCCAAAGAGGAGTCATTTATAACACTCGGACGAGGTAGGCACAGCTGCTTTGGGAAGCCATACAATGCCTCTGTTGTAATACAGCCAAAGAATGAGCTAAGAGTCCTATTTGGCATCAGACAGAGCACAGAATAAACTTTATGAAATACCACTCTGAAGGAGTTACTGTAATTTTAATACTATGTCCACCGAGGTCTTAATTATATGTCAAGATTATCAGTATTACCCACCATAACCACAGACAGCTTTGGGGTGGGGTGCTGAAAGGTCAGCCCTTATAAGAAAAGCTTATTTATTGCCAGTCTTTGAGTTCTCTAGTAACTGAGGGAACCCAGACACCCCACTCATGTACCTGATGAAAACCACTAAAAGAAGCATAACTTTACGGATTTCTCTTGAGTTTAAACTATAAGAAATAGACTCTTCTCAAAATTATGCCCTTTATATACACATAAAGACATTCTCAGTACATACAATTATAAAAACGGAACTAGAATGTTCTTTAGAAACCTTACCATTTTTTATTTGAACACAACTGTGACATCTTCGGGCTGCAGGAAATCCTGCCAAACACATAATAAACACAGAAATTCCATTATTCACAGAAAAACTAAGACTAACGCTGATGTGCCATGGTGAAAGACACACTAGGAATAACTCTTAAATACTTAAAACAAGCCCATTGTTGCATTAAGCAAACACTGACTGGTCCTTCCAATCCTTCCTTATTTCACACTAAAATAAAGCCATCCAAGTCTCACTGTAACCGTACAGCATTCAGGTGCCAGGGGAACAAAACGGGATGGCAGGGCAAGGAGTTACTAGTGGCTTTTCCAAGTCCTTTTACCCACAAAAAGATGGGTGGATCTTGATTCAAGTGTCTGCTTCCTAACCCACCCACATTTCCCTGTTCCCACAGAATGCAACAATCCCCATTAAAAGTCTCTGCACAATTACAGAGGAAGAATAATAATTGGACCAGCATAACGTATTTTACTTGTCATATAACTCAATAAGAGTACTTTCCCCCCTTCAAAACAAGTAAAAATTAAAATACATTTATTAAAGATAAGTGAATCAATATTTTAAATTTACCTATTTTTTCATGGGGTTTTGTGGCAATTTCCTCCCATGCGTTCGTTTCAAGGTTGTAGGCATGGATCTTGGGGAGGAAAAAAAAAAAGAAAGAAGAATCACACACGTAATTTTAGCTAGCCTGAAAACCGGATTTTTTAATAACAGCCTATACAAACACGTATTCTTAGTTGGAAAGTCTTCATTTCTTTTGCCTTTCCCCAATCTTCCCTAACTCCAAAAGAAGGCAAAACATTAAATGATACAGTTGAAAGTTAAACAGATATAGGATTCCAATTTTTTTTAATCACAGAAAAAAAAGAAAACAGTTGAAATTCTGCAACTGTCACATTTTTTACAAAAAACATTTATCATTTTTATACCAGAAAGTAAGTAAGTGTTGCTAAGAAAATATGAGAATGCAGTTTTGACAAAACTTGAAAAAGACCAATAAAGTGCCAAAACAGCCCTGGGGCTCTGTAGCCTAATCTAGATTTCTCCTGGGAGATGTTGATTTAGCAAAGCCACAGGAGTGGATGAATAAAAACCCATCAGAGCGCAGCTTCCTACAGATGCATAGTCCTAGACCTGCAAAGTTCTTTCTAGATACACAGCACTGACGATGACAGAGCTGTGACATCCTGAGCATCGTGGTTCCAGTTCTCATTAGTTTCTCCATACGAGCTACTATCACTTCCCCCATCCAGCTTATGCGGGGATAATTTTCATGTATTTTCAGAGTGTGCTCGATACAATGGTCAACTGGAAAGCATATCAGGGACAAAGTTTGGCCATATGTTATAAAGAGCATGTAACACAAAACAGGTGTTAAGGGGCACCTGGGTGGCTCAGTGGGTTAAGCCTCTGCCTTCGGCTCAGGTCGTGATCTCAGGGTCCTGGGATTGAGTCCCGCATTGGGCTCTCTGCTTGGCAGGGAGCCTGCTTCCTCCTCTTTCTCTCTGCCTGCCTCTCTGCCTACTTGTGATCTCTCTTTGTCAAATAAATAAATAAAATCTTTAAAAAAAAAAACAAAACAGGTGTTAAGAAACTGTTCCAAAATTCAAGTATCTATAGTCAGAGAATTATCTTACTTAGTATGAAACATGCCTCTCTCTGTCCTTTTCTCTCTCATTATTATTATTTTTAAATATACCTTGTTTAAGGAATAAGCTGTCCAGGAAGTACCACCTCCCAAGATGTAAATCCTCTGCCCATCATGTGCAATTTCATGTCTGTATCTGAAAACATACATGGAATCTGTTTATAATGAAGTGAAAAATGATCTACCTAAGATTTTGCCATAAGGCTTTTGTTGGATAATTATTCATAGTAATAAATTGTTAGAAACAATCTAAGTGTTTAACAATAGTGAATTGGTTAAATGAATTACAAAATAACATAAAATGGATTAGCTTGCAACCAGTAAGAATGTAGGCAGAGAGGACAGTTAATATATCAAGAACTTCTTTCCATGTCATTAACTGAAGAAAAAAAAAAAAGTTATGTAAGAGCAGATAGGCTCTAATCCCATGAAAAATTTATACATACACAAATATGCAGAGAAAATGACTACAGAGATAGATCCAAAATGTTAACCCTGGCTATCTCTAGATTTATATTTTATTTTTTCATTTTCTTCATTTTACTTGTCTTTTCCAGATTTTCTAAAATCTTTTTGTGATAACTTTGTATAAGGGGGAAATTATTACAGAGATTTTAAAAAGTGATCTGTCTACATTTCATTAGAAACCCCACAGTATGGACTTTCAAATTAAGATACTTATTTAATAGATACAAAAAATATAAGAAAAATTCTGCCACATAGAACTGTGATTATAATGTGAAACACCTACCAGGACTTTTATCCAAGCAGTCTAGCTAGAAGCTGAAACAATTTATAATGTGTCCATAAAATGATTTAAGAAGGCAACCATGTGAAAATGCTTTGAAAACTTAATCTATTTCCTCCTTTCCCTGAAGGCCCTGGTGCTGATAAAATAAATTACATCAAAATTATTCCAGCAGCAGCCCACCCCCCTGAGTTCTCACATGGTAGCTCTGCAAACATCAGCCCACTGCCATACTACAACAAAGATAAAGCCTTCCTTAGAACCTCTAGGCCATTTTGTTTAAAGGAAACGAAGAGATAACTGGATTCATCTAAACAAAGTGAATAAAAAAGTATTTACTGTCTTTGCTTTTAAACTGGAGAGGAAAAAAGTATTTCACAGAGTTTAATTCTAAGAGGCAAGTCCTAGCAGGAAAGAAAAGTGAAAGACATAGGACTGCTCCCAGAAGGTGGCTAGGAGCACCCTGTGATGTCTGCATGCTTAACAGGGCACTTGAAATGAAGGTCCTCCCCTCCTCTCAACCACCCATCCAATCACCACCACCACCCCCAATCAATATTCACTGAGTACCACTATGGGAATTGAGTGCCACAGGCTCTCTGGGTATACAAGCTTGAGCAAATGAGCCAAACAATCCCAAAACGCAAGTTAAGAAGGCGAATCAAAAAGTAACTAGAAAGTGATTGTTTTCTGTAATATGGTATTTAATTACATTTGCTACCACTGGTTTCTTCTTCAAAGTGTTTCTATCTTCCTAATGCAGGAAAAAATGGATTATAAAAGGAAATACTATGAGAAAAAAAATCTATGGTTAAGGGGGAAATATCATTCCTTAACCAGACAACTTTTCTTTAATGCTGAACTGGGATCTACCAGCCAGTTGGCTATTTTAACCAGGCTGTAAGAGTCTTCGTCAAATCGTATTAGCAGTATTCAGAAAAAAGTCAAACTTAGCAAAAAAGAATAAATATGCTTTGATCCCAGAGCCTCACCTCTCTTCTGGCAGATCACAGGACAGGTTGTTTGGTTTCAGTTGTGTCCACTCTCTCGTATTGAGATCTAGTTTGTGCAGATCTGTGCTGTAAATGTAGCCAGTTGTCCCTCCAAAAACATAGAGGGAGCCATTGATGATCGCCATGGCCTGGAGGGCAAGGAAAGGTGAATACTATTGATTCATTAACGCCTGATTGAAGAATACAAACGTATTCAATACCCCAAAATGAGACTTCATGAAATTCTCTTCTACTTTTTAACCTTCTAAAATAGCAGACCTTTAAAAGATTATAGATTTGGGGGGAACCGAGGTGGCTCAGTCAGTTGAGCATCTGACTCTTGATTTAGGCTTAGGTCATGTCATGGTCCTGGGATCAAGCTCCATGTCATTGTGCTCCCTGCTCAGTGGGGAGTCTGCTTGTCCTTTTACCTCTGCTCCTCCCCCAACTCAGGCTCTTTCCCTCTCTCACTCAAATAAATGAATAAAAAATAAAAATTTTTTAATAGATTTGATTTATTTGACAAAGAGAGACACAGTGAGAGAGGGAACACAAACAGGGGGAGTGGGAGAGGGAGAAACAGGCTTCCTGCCGAGCAGGGGGGCCAATGCGGGGACTTGATCCCAGGACCCTGGGATCATGCCCTGAGCTGAAGGCAGACACTTAACGACAGAGCCACCCAGATGCCCCTAAAAAATAAAATCTTTAAAAAATATACCTAAAAATAAACAAATAAATAAAAGATTAACGATTTTTAGAGAACCCAGGGATTATTTCTAGAAGGGTAAAGCTTTGGGGTGCCTGGGTGGTGCAGTTGGTTAAGTGTCCCGCTCTTGGTTTTCACTGCGGCCATGATCTCAGGGTTGTTAGATCAAGCCCTGCATTGGGCTGCTCAGCATGGAGTCTGCTTATGACTCTCTCTCCCTCTTCCTCTGCCCCCTCCCCACCACATGCACTCTCTCTCTCTCAACCTAATATATAAATAAACAAATCTTTAAAAAGAAAGAAAAGTCAAGAAAGAAAGGTAAAGCTTTGCTCAACTACAAAGCAGTTCTACCTAGATAGGCAAGAGGACTGGATATCATTTAGGGGTCCTGGCCAACCAAAGAATGTATACATGATGGACATGAACATTTCCACACAAAGCTGCTTCTCTTTCTAAGCAGTGTTAAAAAAGACGCTCTCAGGAAGAAGAAGCAGATATGAAAATAAGGCACCAGAACCCCTTAAGTAAAATGTCTAAAGTTGGTAGTCCTAAAAATGTCACATTTTCCACCAGACTCCCGTCAGCATAAATTCCGCTTTTGTTATGGTCATTTCTCAGAGTTTTAATGCCTCCTCCAGTGGAATAGAGTTATCCAGTATGTACCTCTACACATAGCTCAGGAGGTATTTATTATCAGTACTAATGTTGGCCAGTTGAAAAAGAAGCTAAAGATGCTTTTAAGTTTAGCCCATTACTCTCCAAGGGTCGCCGATGTTGGAGGGTCGCTCCCTATCTTTTTGGATAGAACTTTTCAGATCTAAGGTTTGAAGCACTGGAATCTTAACTAGAAACTAATGTCCACATAACCTGTGTTTTAGCTCAGATTAACCTGTATTAAGTCCCTTCCAAGTGCAGATATTATCTACTCTACTACTTAGGTCAGAAAGCTCTCCAAAGAATATCATTTTAGAGATGACAGCACCTTGACCATATGTAGAGCCCAAAGTCATTGGGGGTGGGAGTAGAGGCAGGGTGCATCCTGACATTTAAAATACTTCTGTAGAGGGGCGCCCAGGTGGCTCAGTCAGTTAAGCGGCTGCCTTTGGATCATGATCCCAGGGTCCTGGGATTGAATCCCGAATTGGGCTCCCTGCTCAGCAGGGAGTCTGCTTCTCTCCTGACCCTCTCCCTGCTCATGCTTTCTCCGTCTTCTCCCAAATAAATAAATAAAATATTAAAAAAAAATACTTCTGGGGTGCCTGGGTGGTTCAGTGGGTTAAGCCTCTGCCTTCGGCTCAGGTCATGATCCCAGGATGCTGGGATCAAGCCCGGCATCAGGCTCTCTGCTCAGCAGGGAGCCTGCTTCCTCCTCTCTCTCTGCCTACCTCTCTGCCTACTTGTGATCTTTCTCTCTGTCCAATAAATAAATAAAATCTTTAAAAAAAAAATACTTCTGTATAGATCTAGCTCATGATCCCAAATTGGATTAGAAATAAAGAGTGAGGGAAAAAAGGAAAGGAGGTAAAAAACCAGATCTGCAAATTATGACTTCACATCAGAACTGAAAAATCAGGGGGCGCCTGAGTGGCTCAGTCAGTTGAGCACCTGATTCTTGGTTTCAACTCAGGCCACGATCTCAGGGTCTTGAGATCAAGCCCTATGTGGTGTTGCATTCAGTGGGGAATCTGCTGGAGGATTCTCTCTCTCCCTCTGCCCTCCCCCCACTCATGTGTGTGCTCTTTTTCAAATAAATAAATTAAGGAAAACAAAAACCCTAGGGACCTGGTGGCTCAGTCGGTCATGGGATCCTGGGATCGAGCCCCTTGCTGGGGAGACTGCTTCTCCCTCTGCCTCTTCCCCTCCCACAGACTCATGCTCTCACTCATCTCTCAAATAAATAAATAAAATCTTCTTGAAAAAATGAACTGAAAAATCAAATATTAAACTGAATTCATTCTCTGTTTAAAAAAAAAAGTAGTAACAAATATTCTGACATTGTCCCTAGAACTAGAAAGATCTGCACTAATAAATCCACCATGATTGGCCACAGATTGGTACCTGTCCATATATACGGCTGGGTTTCTTCCCCCGACAGCTGAGTAAAGCCCATCTCTTATACTTCACGTTACACACATGGACGTCATTGCCGTTGCTCTCACCGAACGGGATGCCTGTACCTCCAAACACCAACAGGTTGTTTCCATGCAGCACAACTGGGGAAGGAGACGCACATGTCCATTATGTACTGGCTACCTGTGGTCTGTTCCCATGTAAACCCAGAACAAGAGAGACTAAAAAAATGTCTGCTTTAATGTTCTCTCAGAAGGTAACTCAAACCACTGACATCTAACTACTATAAAGTTCTGCAGGAAAAGGCTTACTTCAAACTGTACAGACTAAACCATAAGGCCAGCTCGTTGTTAGGTATGTGACACATATTCAGTACGTGTTTGTGGAGTTCCTGAAATACTGCGTCTAACACTACTGGAGGACATGAACTATGGCACACCACTGTCACTGAAGACAGTTCAAGTATGCAGCAAAGCAGAGGAAATGAAGTATCATCTTTGCCTCAGCAAAGACCCAGCAGGACGCTGGATGAAGGGATAAAAGGATCATTCTGTTCTTGCCAGGGGAATGAATGATCTCTACTTTTAAATTATGCTTCTGTCACCTTAATCCTTCACCAGATAAAAAGAAACACCAGTATCCTGCTGGTAACTTTGGTGTTCTCTATATTTCTTCTGTTCCTGCCATCACATGCACACACGCATGCACACACACACGCATGCACACACATTCTTTCTCTAACAAGTACCCCACAAATCATGCTACTATTTTACCTCAATGGCATTTTAAGAAATCAATTGTTCAGCTGATATAGTTTGAGAGCCAGCATGGCCGTGGAGCCGCAAGAGCCAGGTTTCAATTCTTGTATGACTTCAGTAAAGTCCCTTAAGGCCCCTCTAACATCCTGTTTTCCATTTGTACAACGGCAATAATTCTAGTAAGTGCATCACAGAAATGCTGTGAGGTAAACGGATACTACGTGTGGAATACGTTGCTCAGAAGCTACTATCGTCATTATAAACCCCCTCTGTTGATCCTCTACTACATTTTACTTAGCCTGTATCTGCTACTTTCTATTGAACCCTCTGAAATATTACTAATCCCATTTTACAAGTAAGGAACTTGAACATAAGAATCATCAAGCAAGGAAACGGTATACAGCTAGATTCAAACTCAGGACTAGTCTCCCAAGTGATTCTGAATCACCATGCTGCATTATTACCACAGTAGCAAGTCTATCCCTTAACAGGGTTTAATCGTATGACAGTATTATTACAAATTATTAACAAGAACCATGTGACACTGACCTGTCCTCACAGACATTTCATAAAGTCAAAAGTTCAGAACTACTTGCACTCACGTGACATAGATGCCAATTCCCGGGGCATGTAGCCATCTGTGCCCATCTGGTGCCATACTCCTGTAGCAAAATGATACCTCCAAAGCTCCCTGAAGAGAGGATAGTCTTCATTATCTGGCCCTCCAGATTCATCATAATCTGGGTTATAACCTCCAAACACATAGAGGTTGGTATTATCTGCCACACAACGATGTCCACTTCGTGCTGGTGGAGGTCTGTGGCCTAGGAGAGAAGAAGACGGTTTTCCACAGATGGCCAAGCAGATTAAAAGCACAAACAAATTTGGTCACAATCATTTTAGCTTTAAGAGGGAATCAGGGAAAATTTATAAAATTGATTTACTTTTTATTTGCTTAGGTTATTTTTTACATTCACACACGGCTACTTAAGTTTTTAAGGAGCTAGTCTCCATTTCTATTTCATACAACTAACTTTCAGATTTTGGTCACTGTGAAAAGTTTTTTTCCAAGGGAGGTAAAATAGCATTATAAACTCAAAAAAATGATTGACAACTTGAAATTTTCAAGAAGGAGGAGGGGTTTAATAAGCAAAAAGCTAACAGGACAAATTTTCTTATTTCCTTAGAGGAGAACAAAAACACAGGCCAACTAAATTAAACTGAAAATATTAGAGAACTACGTAAATATAATCACAAATGTGAATGAGTCATGTATAAATAAAAATACACACACATAAAACCTATGATTTGTCCACACTATATAATTATACACTTAAAAAGAAATCTGGCTTTCAAAGAGTTATAGAAAGATTTAGAATTAAATACCACTCCAGACAGTATGGCAGTTAACAAAAAATATCCTTATAGTTATCTCAAAGAGCATCTTTCATCCTACTGAGAGCTTTACTAAGAAAAGCTATTTCTACAGTTTATATTTGAAAGCTAACTGAAGTTTAAATTGCATCAACTAGTTCACTAAAAACTACTTTAAGATTAGAGTAAAAAACCCTAAATTTTTAGATTATTTCTATTATCCTTACAATTTTTTATACCAGTCTACACAAACCCTTACATAGCTACAGAACCAAAGATGCTTAAATCCATACTGAATGGAATAAAAAGCCACAACAGTTGTCGGTCACCCTAAAGACTTACCTACTTTCCTATACTAGGAATAGATACTAGTATAATGTTAATTAATATTTAGGATGATGCTGGACACCTAACAAACATATTATATTAAAAAAAAACACTTATTACCAACCTAACATAGGCCTTATGTATTTTGTTAATCAAAATCTCACTTCCTGGGGTATAAATTCAAATAAGAACAGAAAAGAAGTTGCAGCTATCTAGAGAAACTAAAAAACAAATAAACCACGAATCAATCACTGAATCCCTCAACTCTGACCTGTCAGTCCTGTCTGAGAATCTTTGAGGACTCCTTCCTGCTCAAGTACAGTTTTCAACTCACAATTTAGAGCCTTTCACAACATAACTTTGGCCTGATAGCTCACACTTCTGCCTAAGTTTGTCTCTCTGCTTATAAAGGCAAGTCCTTCCCTTAGCCCTTGGCCTGGTCTCCTACCCTACCCTTCAATGCCTACTTGTGGAAATGCCTCCAAATCCAGTCCTTACAGCTTTCTCATCGTTTAACCCTAGGGCCCTTAAAGTTCAATACCCTGAGATTCAAATAAGAGGATATACACTCACAGCAAGATTATTATACCATATCTATGTAAATACATGAATATAATATTAGGCAAACTATAATCAGTTAGAAAATTTACTCATAAGCTGTGATTTACCTCAACTGAAGAACTAAATTTCCTTTTCTAGGAATCTCGAAACATAGAAAGTGTGGTGTGGGAAGAAAAAGCAAAAGCTCCTACAGATGTCTAGATTTGAATCCAGGTTTCTAACTGCTACCTTGAGCAAGTCACTGACCCTCACTGTATCTCAGCTTCCTCATCTGTATAAGGGGATATTATGCCTGTACCTCACAGATTTTTCAGACTTCTATTAAAATGCTTATTGGCTTATATATTAATCGTTCCAAGTGTGTGAACTATTTGAAGAAAGAAGAATGTACTTGCATTCACCTTTCTAGTACCAAGCCCAAGACACACAAAAAATACTAAACAAAAATTTACAAATTTTTCTCTACTCATTTTGTTAACATTTGTTTTTCTTCTCCAAATAGGTTAGAACCTCCTCAAAGGCAAAGATCATGTATAACAATTGTCCTGTATTACCCGTAACACCTGAAACCAGTGGAGTGATATAAAAGACACTAGGAGACAGGGCACCTGGGTGGCTCAGTTGGTTAAGTGACAGCCTTCGGCTCAGGTCATGATCCCGGAGTCCCAGGATTGAGTCCCACATCAGGCTCCTAGCTCCAAGGGGAGTTTGCTTCTCCCTCTGATCTTCTCCCCTCTCGTGCTCTCTCTCACTCCCTCTCTCAATAAAAATAAAATCTTAAAAAAAGAAAAAAGACACTAGGAGTTTCATGATTCTAGTTTCAGGTTAAAGTAAACAGTGACAGGGATGATCAAAATAGTGTATAGCTCCCAATGGACTTTGATATCATCATGATCACCTGAAATCACACACGATTTCAGGGGCAGGGGTTGGATTATGCAATGGTCTTCTCAAAACAGAAATGCTTCTAAAAATTAGTGAGACAAATATAAAGAAAAAACAAAACAGAGTTGTTGTGGTCAATAGATGGGAAGTTTGAGAATCTTTATAACGTCATATGCTTTACTCCCTGACGTCAACAGATACTTTTCTAAAACTGCTTTTGGACAAATATTTGAAAAGACATACACTATATTCTAGGATTTTCTCTCTATAATTTTCCACTATGAGTTACTTGACAACTATTTTTGTGACAAATATAACTCAAATGGATTAAAGGTTGAGGAGTTAGTGAAAAGATGGTCTCATATTTATTCACTCATTCACTCATTCATTAAGCCAAAAATATTACTGGATACTTGCTATGTACCAGGTACTGCCTAAGGTGCTGGGGATACAGTGATAGGACCACTATCATTTCAGTCCTCTAGAGCTTAAAGTCTAGTCCTGCACTTTCAATGCAGTAGCCACTAACCATGTATTAATGCTGAGCATTTGAAGTGAGGATGGTCCAGAATGAGATAGGATTTCAATGTAAAATACCCACTGGATTTCAAAGACTTAGTATCCAAAAATGAATACAGAATTACTAATTTTTGTATTGAATGTATGTTGAAATGTATTTTTGATGACCTGAGTTAAATAGAAGTATTAAAATTAATGCCACCTTTTACTTTTTTAATGTGACTACTGGAAATTTTTCAATTTGTGGCTCAGGAAACATTTCTATTGAACAGGGCTGGTCTGACTCAGTTGCTGGCTTTTGTAATCCCATTATCTATGCAAATTAAACTGCTGGGTAAAGAGAACCTGATCATTGTTTGATAAATATTAAACATGCTGTCAAGAAGTCTGATAGCTGGGAGTAAAAGGTAACTCTTCTTTCTCTTGGGTCAGTAACTAGAGATTTCTTTGTACATATTTATAGCCCAAGAGTGACTAACATATCAGAAAGTCAAATTTTACTTTGAATAAATCATGGGAATTTGTCAGGGCTAATGCCATGGAGACTAAGCACTTATTTTCACCATGTGGGATACAGCACAGGTTCATCAGCCTTGACCAAAATAAAATTGGGTTTTAGATTGTTAAATAGTTCTCTGAATCCTCCCCCAAACTCTCCACGTGCAAATCCCACTTTCCTAAAAATGACTTGCTACTAATAAAATTACCCTTTGAATTAGGTTACCTAATTCAGAAACTTCCACTAGAAAATGTAAAAAACTCAAGCGTAAAAAAGTCAAAAATTAAAACTGAACTAGTATGCAGAGGTGACTCCCAATATCCACAAGGCAACATCCAGCTAAGGCAGCGTGTACCTATGATGTCTGAACCATCTTCTCTTCTGTGGGCTCACCTCGTCACAAACACTTGCTCTTTAACCCAGGGCAGAAGCAAGAGCTCGTGGTAACCAGGGAAATGGGCTTTAGTTTCTACTCCAGCCCAAAGGAAGAGAGAAGCTAGCTGCCCAACATTAAGGTGACAGATGATTAGCCAGATTAGTCAATGTTTTCACCATTACAGTATTTTAACAAAGCTTCCTTTACATATGTTCACATGCAAATGTCTGAGTACTTCTGCGTCAAAGGAATATATGCTTTAAAGTGTTACAGATGCAATGTGACAGAGCCATATTGCTCTCCAAAGAGACTGGAACAATTATAATCCCAAATGATTTCTGGAAGTGCTTATTTCTTCACAGTCTCTTTAACCTCTCTCCTGTGTGCCCATCGGAAGGGTACAAATTAGGGTCAGGTATCTGTATTTCCCTGATTTTTTACTAGTGCACATGTTAACCGGCCCATTTATATTTCTTCTGTGGGGAGCTGCCTAATCATACCCCTTGCCAACTTTTCTATCTACCTAGTTGTTATGTTACAGATTTGTAGAAATTATTTATTTATAATATTTCTTTAATCCAACCTGCTACTTGTCTTAATTTTATCTTTTAATGTATGGAAGTTTTTGTGTTACTGAATCTCTCAATCTTTTAATAAAGGTTCCTTTGCAAAAAAAAAAAAAAAAGAAAAGAAAAGAAAAGAAAAAAGACTGCTTTATATCTCATTTATCTCTGAATCATAAAATTATAAAAATATTTTCATTTAGTTCTAGTAATTTTACAGATTTTTTTTTAATACTCAGAAACTGAATACATCCAGAACTTTATTTTTGTGTACTATATGAGGTAGGGCTCTAATTTTCCTCCCAAAATGGATAGGCTTTTGCCATCAAACCACTTTTGGAAAGCCATCTCTTCTATACTGAATTGAAATGCCAACTTTATCACACACTAAATTGACATGTTCTAGAGTAGAATTAGGAAAATCCAAATATCCAGGTCTAATCACAAACTTGGACACAAAATCTATTACTTTTTAAGAATGCACACAACTGGGGCACCTGGGTGGCATAGTTGGTTAAGCATCCAACCCTTGATTTTGGCTCAGGTCCTGATCTTAGGGTTGTGAGATAGAGCCCCATGACCGGCTCCACGTTCAGCACAGAACCTGCTTGGGAATCTCCCTCTCGCTTCCTCTCTCAAATAAATAAATAAATCTTTAAAAAAAAAAAAAAAAGAGTGCACACAATCAATATAAAGCAAAATCACAGAATCTTAAATGCA